ACCTCAGTCTCTTTTGTGGAAATGGCTATTGTTCTGCCTCTTCTAGGGCAGCACCCCCCTCCTGCCTCCCCCAAGCTCTCAATCCCAGGGTCTCCATTAGAGAAGTTGCTTTGAGCTAAAACCCACTGAAACCAGCTTCTTCTCTCAGGGGCCCAGTCTGGATCCGCACAGAGCAAGGTGCTGAGTGGAGCCGGGGGCTTCGTGCTGGGGCTGCTCTTCCTCGGGGCGGGGCTGCTCATCTACTTCAGGGCTCAGAAAGGTAAGGAGCCTGCTGGCAGCCGAGGCTCTGAGACAGTGGGGGGACCTGGGGCTTTGCTGGGTGAGCTCTGGGTATGGCAACGCCTTAGGGAAGCCTCTCTTTCCCTGTTGGTCTCATGTTCCCTGGAAATGCAGAAATAACCAGCTCCCGGTTCTTAGGGTGGAGACACGAGGATTCATGGCTGTGGGGTTAGAGAGGGGTTAACACGCATGGTGATTTGGGGGCAGATCCTGGGGCACATGGAGGAACAGGCCATGTGGTCACTAATGACACTGGTTGTGACAGCTTCGGGGCCACTGCTCTCAGCTTCTGCTCTCGTCCCTGCTCTGGTGTCAGCGGGTGGGGGTGCTGCTGGAGAAGCTCAGGTGGCCTGGGCGGGGACCCTGTGTTTGGGGACACACTTACCTTCCTATCTTTTAAGTAGCATCTTCCTTCTCTTTCCAGGACACTCTGGACTTCAGCCCACAGGTAACGCTCTCTAATCCTCTCTCAGGGACCCATTCGCTTTCCCTAGAACAGAAGGTGCAGGGACGAGCCAGGGGACAGGTAGCGGGAGCCTGGGTGTGGCTCTGGCCGCTTACACTGCAGTGTCTCCTCCTGCCTGGTGAGAGGCAGCTCTAAAGCAGCTTTGGCTCCTGTGGCCTCAGAGCTTTTCTTCTCACTTGGGAGCCACAGCAGGAGGCCTGGGAGGGCAGCGCCCCTGCTGGCTGGGCCTGGGAACAGCTCTGTCCTCTGTCTGCAGGACTCCTGAGCTGAGGTGGCCATGGTGACAGGAGCAGGAGAGAACCTTCTGTCCAGCCCCTTCACCGCCTGAAGAGGTTTCCTGCTGGGCTCTTACTCCACAAGGAGAGCCGCCTGGGGCTCTGGCTGAGTCCTGGTTCCTGACCCCCAAGCAGCTCCTCCCTGCTGGTTCCTGCCCGCCCTGGACCTGGAGGCCCCAGTGTTGGCTGCAGAGCCTTAGCTCCATCCCTCCCTGTCCCTGTGTGTTCAACCCTCGCTGTCTTCTGTGCACCTTAGCTCACCTCTTCCCACATTTCTTTACAAAATGTTTCTCAATTAAATATGGAGTGAAATCATCTGCCTCACATGGATTCAAGGGCAGGAAGTAGAAAGAAAAGAGAAAGAGAGGATCTCATCTCAACACAACAATAATTTTCACTTATTTTCCTGAATCTGGTCATGTGGACATCTGGAAGGTTTCCTTGTTCCCTTACTGCTTTTTCATGAGTTTTCCCTCCTGTAATCGGCCTGGTTCCTGAGCCAGGAGAGAGCCTGCCATGGACCTGAACACGGTGGTCTCCTACGTCGGTGTTTCTCAAAGACAAGCACACAGGTTCCTTTCCCCTGAGATACAGAAGGGGACAGCAAGTGTAAGAAATGCAGGACACTTGTAAGGATGCCATGCCTTTACAGTTTCTTAAAAAAACACACTAACTTTTATTGATTTCAGAGAGGAAGGGGGAGGGAGAGAGAGATAGGAGAGAGAATCATTGATTGGCGGCCTCCTGCATGACCCCTACTGGGAATTGAGCCCACAACCCTGGGCATGTGCCCTGACAGGGAATCAAACCCTGACCTCTTGGCCCATAGGTCAATGCCAACCACTGAGCCATACCAGCTGAGCCAGTTTCTATAATCCTGTTCTTTTCTCTGATTTTTTAAAAGAAGGTACCTAAACCCAGTACCTCTTTAAGTCCCCTTTTAGGGCATTAGTCTGTTGTTGGCTTCTATACTTCAGTCTTTTTGTGACTCAGATAAATGAGCGCTGTGCTGATTCTGCCTTGAGATGCACCTTCCCCTTGAGTAGGACCCGGAGGCCATCAGGACAGAGCTGCCACTCTAGTGGGAAAGGTGCGCTTCTGAGGCCTCCAGCTTGTGTGGGAAACTCACTGTCTGTCACGGGAAACCCTGTGTGGACCTTATCTGAGCATCAACCAGGGCCCCTGCTGGGCACCCAGGGGAGCGTGTGGCTCCCTGCTCTGCCACCAGCGTGCAATCCTCTGCCCTGGAGGGAACATGAGAGACTCCTGTGGGGTGGCCTCCCAACGCGTGTGAGCAAAGAGCAGCAGAGTTTGCACAGTACACACGTATGTCTTAAATAACATAGAGGAGAATAGGAATACAGAGACATACCTATCCTCTCTCTTTATATTTATAAACAGAAACAATAGAGAATTTTAAAAAGTGATTGCCTATGGGGCAAAATGAGGGCTGATGTGGACAGGGAAAAAAGCTAGACTTTTGTTAACATATTTAATAATTTTATCTTGAGAAACATTAAAATAATTACATATAATAGAAAGTTTAAATCAAAAGTTTCCAAAGACAATACATAAAAAGGTAAGCAAACTTACAATTGAAATAAACTTGACAAAAATATACAATTAAAAATCAAAACTTTTTGATCCTTGCATAAAACATTGTGAAACTATAACTGTAAACCAGTAGATAGTTCTACATTCCATCAACTTTAATAATATAAAGGAGTGAACAGGTTTCAGGGAAAGGCACCTGATGTGGCTAGAAGATGGTGGGTTCTGCTCGTGTGTTTCACCTGAATAGTCAGTTTCAGTGTGAATCTAAAATCTAAAGACTAAATAAGTGACTCAGTTGTATATTTCAAAGGAATAGTCACTTGAACACAATTTTTCTACTGTCAGAGATAGTTATTTCATTTTCAAGCGAATTTAAAGATTATGCCTATTTTAATTACATTGAGTATTAGTTGTGTGAAACAGGTTATCATTGTGCTGGAATTTAATAAGCTGATAGTAACATCTGCAATGCATGCAGTTGAGATAAATTCTATTTAAACCCAGGCTTAAACTTTACTCTCGCTTTGATCTCAGATGAAGTGAGTTGTCTCATTTTATTTTAGAGCTGGGGTGTGAAATTATAAGGTAGAACTGGAGTATATTTTGATGAAGATGGTTTCTGCTCTTAGTAGAAAATCCACCCTAATTTGCTTTATTTTTCTTACACTTATTGTTGTACATGGAAGGTAGAGCCCGGTGGGGGGGCCATCTCCAGAGCTGGTCAGCTCCTGAGGCCAGTGGCATCGCCAGTGAACCTGGACTTGGCATCTCACCCCTCTATCGGCCATCAGCTCCCCCAAGATGGCAGGATGCCTGAGGCAGCTGTAGGCCTCATACTCTCTCACAACAACTTCCAAAGGCAGGAAAACAGAGCAGTTTCTCTAATGTGCTTTTATAAGGAGCAACTAAACTTTCCCAGAGTCCCCCCTCCCCCTGCACCTTCTTCCCACACATGAGGAGGACCCTGGGGTTACAGCTGTAGACTAGCCCTTTGTGGGCATGGGAAGAAAAGGAGCAAAACCATATTTTTTAGAAAGAAAGAAATGGTATATGAGGTAGGGAGGAATGGTTTTAGGGTACAGAAACTATAGCTCTGCACTTTCAGATTGCTTGCAGTTTAAATAATTTCCTCAGAAATGATGATAGATTCTTAATGGACAGCATCAATTCAAGGTTATGAGTTGTTTTTTTTTTAAAAAAAACATTGAGTACTAAATCTCAGCCATATACCTAATTATGAAAAACAAACATATAAACAAGCAAGAGGATTAATTTGTTTTTAGAACTTATTAGGCTGATACTTAATTTAATGAGAAAAAAATATATATTCCATGGAAAATTTTGAAAAAAGACACAGAAATAATGACTAGGTTTACAAGATGCTAAAACCTGTTATACATTTACTAGAGGCCCGGTGCACAAAAATTTGTGCACTCGGGGGGTGGGGAGGGGGGGCCCCAGCCCGGCCTGTGCCCTCTCCCAGTCTGGGACCCCTCGGGAGATAACGACCTGCTGGCTTAGGCCTGCTCCCGGGTGGCAGAGGGCATGCCCAATCCCTAGGTGCAGCCCCTGGTCAGGCTCAGAGTAGGGCCGATTGGGGAGTTGGGGCGTCGCCCCGTCATGCACAGAGCAGGGCGGATCGGGAGGTTGCAATGCCACCCTCAGTCACGCTCAGGGTA